CAAGAATTCTAACACTGTCCCCTCTCCTCCTGGCACATCCTGCCTCTGTCCTTGAATCCGTGGCTTCCCTTGCCAAGCTGCAGAGGGTGCCATATTTTACTTCCTGGTCCCACCTTCGTCGCCAGTGTTAAGTTGTGGGTGAACATATCAGATGACACAGTGATTCTTCAAACAGCTCTTGTTTATTCACAGGCCAGAACAGAACTGAACTGAAGGGTTCAGCCAGCCTGCTTATATAGAGCTCCAGTACAACGCAACAGTAACCATTTTCTGTAACTATCCAATCACTGAACGTCACTTTCAATCCCTTATTTGCATATGCGGACCTGAGTGAAAACTATCTACAGTACCCCCCTGCTGTCCCAGCGTGAGAACTTCAGTACATAACACCTTGGAGGAGAAGAAGGCTCTGGCTTGGGATGCAGACACCTCCCAAGGGCTCACCTCCCCCTTAACAGCAAGAGCTTCTCTCTCCCTCCTCTCTCTGCTCCCTTTCCCCTCCCAACCTGCACCGCACACTGCTAAATGCCTCCTTATTCAGTGATCCGGCTCACTGTTATCCCAAGCAAGGCACTCTGCAGATTTAAATAGAAAGATATCAAAATAAAAGATAATTGTCGTGGAAAATGAAGGTGAGGGAAGGGGGAAGGGGGAAGGAGCTGTCAGTGCAAAGGAACTCTTGTCTAATTTTGCAACCCACGCAGAGCAGAGATACTAGTGCCTTGAACTCCAGCAGATAAAAAGCTTTCCAGACTCGATTACCTGCTCCTTGAACAGCTGGTTCCTTCAACAAGAGGAAGTGTCTGGGTGGTAGGTCTGTCCCTAGAGGACCCTGGGAGTCAAAGTCCATGCACATGAGGGGGGCTTGTGTCGCAGGATCATAGGAAGCTGCCTTAGGCTCATTCGCGTGACATTTTATTCTAGAATCAATGGACATTTGAGTACAGTGGTACCTCTGGTTACGTACTTAATTCATCCCGGAGGTCCGTTCTTAACCTGAAACTGTTCTTAACCTGAAGCACCACTTTAGCTAATGAGGCTGCTGCCGCTGCCGCCGCGCGATTTCTGTTCTCATCCTGAAGCAAAGTTCTTAACCCGAGGTACTATTTCTGGGTTAGCGGAGTCTGTAACCTGAAGCGTCTGTAACCTGAAGCGTATGTAACCCAAGGTACCACTGTACTAAAGAGCCTCGGCTCTGTATACCTGAAGGGGCGTCTCCCCACTCCCTCCTTGTCCAGCCCCAACACTGAGATCCAGCTCCAAGGCCCTTCTGGCAGTTCCCTCACTGCAAGAAGTGAGGGTACAGGGAACCAGGCACAGGGCCTTCTCGGTAGTGGCACCCAACCTGTGGAATCAGTGGCGGAGCTACCTGCTCTGGCACCGGGAGCGGCATACATCTGCAGGCATGGTTGGCGTGCATCCCAGGGAGAGTGGCGCACATCGATGGGGTGCGCGGTAAGTGGCACATGTCCCAGGGGGTGGGGGCAGCAGCAATGTCACACCCCCCCCCCCAGGATGGCACCTGGGGGAAACCGCCCCCCACCCCCACCTTCTTCCGTCAGTGTGTGGAATACCCTCTCATCAGATGTCAAGGAGGTAAGTAACTAAACAACTTTTGGAAGACATCTGAAGGCAGCCCTGCTGCATAGGGAAGTTTGTAATGTTTGATGTTTTATTATGCTTTTATATTTGTTGGAAGCTGCCCAGAACTTCTGAGGCAACCCAGTCAGATGTGTGGGGTACTCCAGATCTGCTGCATATTTTTGGTCCCTGAAAAACGCTTCTTGGGAAACTGGTTTCATTCTGAAACTAAAAGCTTGTTGCAGGTTCATTCTGCGTTACTGTGCAGTGTTTGAAAACACATGTAGGTGAATCCGGGAATGTGGGGTATAGCCATAGTCAACCAAGGACGTTGTACCAAGTTTGCAATCACAACTTTCTTCTTCATTCACCTGGGGCATGGGCAGGGAGGAAAAACATGAATCGCATAATCCGGGGGGCAATTTTCAAACGCATATTTAGTAAACCACACTGTCATTTGCAGATGACAGGATCCAAAATCAATCTATGTCTGTTATTGTTTGCCACCATGGACATCATATGGAAGGGTGGAGAATATTGTTGACTCATCTAATTTCCAGTTTGTTTGCTTTTCTGGCAAGCAGAAAACCAGGTAGACAAGATTTTGAGGTTTGAAGAAAGGCTGGAGTTACCAGCAGAGAGATGCTATAAACGACTGAATCTCTAATGGCAGGAAGGAAAACCACTGAGGGTGGGGGGGGGAGGTTTGAGGCAATTTTCCAGGAGCCGTTTTGCATCACCCTCTTTCATAACAAAATGCATTTGCACACATGATGCAGTCAACCAATTCCAAAGTCCATACATTACTTAATTAATTACTCATTTTAATTACTCAATCACTTCCAGTGATGCTTAATTGCACTTGGTTTCTTAATTATGTGCTAGCTTGCTGTTTATAACCCACAATCCTGCAAAAGAGATTCACACATAGAAGCAGGATTATGTATGCGATGCCTGAGCAGACTCACACTCATGTCTATTCTTATAAGTTTTAGAGGAGGGAAATTAATCCCTAGAAATTAATAAATGGTAAAATTTTGATTATTTGGGATATGAAGGGAAAATACAAGCTGCAGAGGAATTCCTGGGCTGGTCTATGCAAAATGACCTGGCCAATTGGTTCTCTGGGCAATCAAGAACAAGAATAACAGCAATTAAAAATCAGAATAAAACTGGGCGATAAATGAAAGCAATTAAACGCAGTTGATTAAAACAAGAAAAGTTGAGGGCTTCAAAGGTCTGGGAGAATAAAAAGATCTTCACCAACTGAGCCTCGGAGATCTTTCCTTAGAGGGGGCACCACCAATGAAAAGTCCCTTCTCTATGCCAAATCTCAGCTGGTGGGGGTGAGATTTGGATAAGAGCCTCGATTGCTGATTTATTGTGCTCCCATCCTCATTTCATATCTTTCATTGTATCAGACTTTCGAGGTCTGTCCATGTCAATTTCTGCATGTTCAGAAGAAACACACATCCTTACCAAGAAGTAACCAAGTCAAACAAATTCAGCTGGATCAACTAGTGGCTCTTTTCTGTTATTGTTATTGTTGTTTGTTTGTTTGTTTGTTTGTTATTAAAACACATTAATAAAAAGTTACAATATAGTTTCATCCACTGGCATAATATCACAGAATGATTGCTCCAATCCTCAATCCCTCATCACTGCCACCTTGGCTCACTAAATACCCTCAGTAGGAACCCAACTACTGATCTGATTTACTAGACATTTTCAGTCAAAATATCCCCTCCACAGACACTTCTGCAATGATGGCAGCATTAAAAGACCCTGTACTTCTTCAATAAAAGAGGGGGGAAAGGAGACCAAATTGTGTCAAAGGTATCTTTTATGGAGATACCTTTGATTAGTTGCCGATGGTAAGTGAGGCGTTCTAATAAAGTCATACTCCAGATGTTATTAACCCAAGCCTTTATTGGTATATTAGAAGTTTCCTTCCATTGTTGGGTAATAACGCGGTTGGCGCTGTGGTCTAAACCACTGAGCCTCTTGTGCTTGCCGATCGGACGGTCGGCGGTTCGAATCTCCTGTTGCTCGGTCCCAGTTCCTGCCAACCTAGCAGTTCAAAAGCATACCAGTGCAAGTAGATAAATAGATACCGCTGCGGCAGGAAGGTAAACGGCGTTTCCGTGTGCTCTGGTTTCCATTGCACCAGAAGCGGTTTAGTCATGCTGGCCACATGACCAGGAAAGCTGTCTGTGGACAAACGCCGGCTCCCTCAGCCTGAAATCGAGATGAGCGCGCAACCATATGACAGGGGTCCTTTACCTTTTTACCTTAATAACTAATCTAGCTGCTGTGAACAGGGAGGAAATTCATTCTTTAAAGAGTAGAATTTGGGATCAATTCTAGTGATAGCAAGGCAAGCGCCGAATTAGGAGAGAGAGATTGTTTAAGGATTTTGGACGTCAGAGAAATGACTTTTCCCCAAAAGGCATGGACCACCGCTCACATTCTTGATCAGAGGAGAAGAGCCAATAGAAGGCTCACACAGATCCATACGGTACAGAAGGAGCATGCAGAAAGCAGGATAGAGAGGTACCCAGCTTAGCGATGCTAAAGAGCATTGGCCATTACACAATAACTCAGCACAGGACATAGCCAATCACTTTGTACCGACTGGGAGATGTTAGGTCAAAATTCCTGAAGCTCACAGTTCCCCCTAGCAAGAACTCTTGCTTCCTCAATTTAGTCTCTGCATCTATTTAATATCGGCCAGCAGGAACGAGCATCTTTTTTGTTAGGGAGCAACAGGGACAGAGGACCTGGGCTTCTGTCCTCGGGTTGAAAGGCCGCTCACGCTGTTCTTTTCAAACAAAATACTCTTGCTGCAGAAAACCTGGACAAAAGATGCATCTGGTGTTCTGGAAGGCAGTGATTACACAAAGCCAAGATCAATACAGAACAGGAACTTGCAGCTCTCTGGACCCTGTTTCCTGCCCCTTTAGCCGATGGTCAGGAACGATGGGAGTTGCAGTCCAACAACAACACATGGTGGGATGGTGGGATCGGGTTCCCCATTCCTGATTCAGACCTAGGGGCCACATCAAATTGAGACCCCTATTTGTATCACAGGCATGACTCCCTAAAGGCAGGCTTATTTTGATTTTGGTGTGTGCGATTCTGAAGTTGCAGCTTCTTATTCTGCGGATAGCTGGATTGTAAAATTGTGGGTGAACATATCAGACGACACAGCAATTCTTCAAACAGCTCTTGTTTATTCAGAGGCCAGAACAGAACTGAACTGAAGGGCTCAGTCAGCCTGCTTATATAGAGCTCCAGTACAACGTTACTGTAGCAACTTTCTAAAACTATCCAATCACTGAATGTCACTTTCGATCCTTCATTTGCATAACTATCTACAGTATTCCCCTGCTGGCCCAGGGTGAGAACTTCAGTACATAACATGGATAGCTCAATTGGTTAGAGTGTGGTGCCGACAACACCAAGGTTGCAGGTTCGATCCTTTGTGGAGCAGATGCCTATTCCTGCATTGCAGGGGTTGAATTAGATCAGGGCATAGCTGTCAACCTTCCCCTTTTTTGCGGGAAATTCCCTTATTCCAGCGCCGTTTCCCGCTGCTTCCCACTGCTATCCCAGATTGTTAGATATCCCGTAGACTGTCCCCAAGACAGGTGAGGCTGCTGATCCCTTATTTTCAAATCTGAAAGTTGACAGCTATGGATCAGGAGTCAGCAAACTTTTTCAGCAGGGGGCCGGCCCACTGTCCCTCAGACGTTGTGGGGGGCCAGACTATATTTTTTGGGAGGGGATGAATATTTTTCGCCCTCCCACAAAGAGGCCTGAAGATGCTTCGCTTTACCTGTCCCAGTTGTCGTCCCAATAGCCGCAGTTGGGCAGCCAGGCGCCGTGATGGGGTAGGAGGCTGTGTTGGCTGGCAAAGACAGAAGCAGCAGCCCTGTCAGAGGAAACACGGACAGAGGTAGGGGAACCGGAGCATCGCCGGAGCTTTTACCACCACCTGCTGCTGCTGCTTCCTGAGAGGCATCGCAGAGAAGGCGGCAGAGCCGTCTGCCAACCCACAAGCGGCCGCCGTGACCGTTGCAACAACCCACCTGAACACCATGGGAGGAATGAAGGAGGGAGGGAGGGAGGGAGGGAGGGAGGGAGGGAGGGAGGGAGGTGGTGACAAAGAAAGTGTGTGAGGAGCAAGAAGAATTACCAACGAAAGAAGAATGAAGGATGAAATTGATGGACTATGCAGAGTTAGATAAATTAACAGGAAGGATTCAAAACCGGCGGGTTTCGTAGAAGACTGGAGTAAATATAAGAACTATTTGAAAAGTAATTGTGATGAACAGATTACGCTAGCAGGACTGCAGGAAGTTTTGTAAGGTGGATTATTTGAAATATTGCAAGAAAGACTATGAAGGCAATTATTAGTTAATGACAATTAAGTGTAATAGGAAATTGAGAAATGTAGAATAAGTGATAAAGAACAGAAAATCATTAGAGGTGTTGACGGAAGTACAGTGGTACCTCGGGTTAAGTATTTAATTCATTCTGGAGGTCCGTTCTTAACCCAAAACTGTTCTTAACCTGAAGCACCACTTTAGCTAATGGGGCCTCCTGCTGCTGCCGCACAGCTGCTGCGCGATTTCTGTTCTTATCCTGAAGCAAAGTTCTTAACCTGAGGTACTATTTCTGGGTTAGCGTAGTCTGTAACCTGAAGTCCTACTAGAATAATCTGTTTATCACAATTGCTTTTCAAATAATTCAAATATTTACTCCAGTCCTCTAAGAATCTCCGCGCCTGCAGGTTTCGAATCCTTCCTGTTAATTCATCTAATTCTACATAGTCCATTAACTTCATTTGCCATTCTTCTTTCGATGGTAATTCTTCCTGCTTCCATTTTTGTGCTAATAATATTCTTGGGTGGGGGGGACAACATTTCTCAGCCCAAGAACCACAGTCAAAGTTGGATAACTCCAAGGGCTGCATGTTGTTGCATAAATCTACGCTGTTCTTCCCTTGGATCGGTGTTCCAGATCCCGTCCCCCCTGGAAAGGGAGTCAGAGGCAGAACTCATGTTTATTCAGCTGAATAAAGAAGGGACAGACCCCTGACTTCCCCGGTCAGGAAAAGGGTCTGTTTGGTACAGAAAGAAACCACAGTATTTTATACTTTCAAAATATATTCCAGAGACACAGTGCTGAACAAAGGAGCATTTCCCACATTATCTGTCCTGTGCTGTTCTGCTAGCTCATCTCTGCCTGCCAAATTTGTTGCAAACCCTTGTTTTGCTAGCCGGTCCTGTTAGTTCCATCCTTGATGTTACAGTGGTACCTTAGGTTAAGTACCGTATTTTTCACCCCATAGGGCGCACCCCCCCATAGGACACACCTAGTTTTTTCGGGGGGGGAAATAAAGAAAAAAAAATTATTTCCGCCCCAGCCCGAGCTTCCCCCAACCCCAGCCCCGAGAACAGCCTGCTATCCGCAAGCCTAGGGAGCCCGGCGGGAAGTCGCGCCGGTCTCCCCAGGCTTGCGGAGAGCTGTGCGAAGCCCGGGCGCGCTCTTCAGCGCGCCCCAGGCTTCGGAATGCAGGCAGCTCTGCGCAGCCCTCGGGAGACCGGCGCGACTCAGGAGTCCCGAGGGTTGCGCAGAGCTTCCTGAAGCCTGGAGAGTGAGAGGGGTTGGTGCGCACCGACCCCTCTCGCTCTCCAGGCTTCAGCAAAAGCCTGCATTTGCCCCATAGGATGCACACACATTTCCCCTTCATTTTTGGAAGGGGAAAAGTGCGTCCTATACGGTGAAAAATACGGTACTTAATTCGTTCCGGAGGTCCGTACTTAACCTCAAACTGTTCTTAACCTGAAGCACCACTTTAGCTAATGGGGCCTCCTGCTGCCGCTGTGCCACCAGAGCACAATTTCTGTTCTCATCCTGAAGCAAAGTTCTTAACCTGAAGCACTATTTCTGGGTTAGCAGAGTCTGTAACCTGAAGCATATGTAACCTGAAGCATATGTAACTGTATCTGCTTACACTGAGCCTGCTTTCCATTCCCTCTCTGACTGTCCTGTGCCTTAGAAGAAGAAAAATATACTTAGAATATATGCAGCAAAAAGCAATTAATACAAAAGCAAATTAATCATGATTAATTCATTCCAAGGGACGTGGGTGGCGCTGTGGGTTAAACCACAGAGCCTAGGGCTTGCCGATCAGAAGGTAGGTGGTTCGAATCCCCGCGACGGGGTGAGCTCCCATTGCCCGGTCCCTGCTCTTGCCAACCTAGCAGTTCGAAAGCACACCAAAGTGCAGGTAGATAAATAGGTACCGCTCCGGCGGGAAGGTAAATGGCGTTTCCGTACGCTGCTCTGGTTCGCCAGAAGCAGCTTAGTCATACTGGCCACATGACCCGGAAGCTGTACGACGGCTCCCTCAGCCAATAAAGCGAGATGAGCGCCGCAACCCCAGAGTTGGCCACGACTGGACCTAATGGTCAGGGGTCCCTTTACCTTTACCTTTAATTCATTCCAATAAGCATAAACGATTAATAATTTTGATTTTTGAAACAACGTCAACAGTGATTGTGGCCAGGGTTGCCTCTGAATAAGCACTCGCTCTCACATGTGCACACTGAGCTCACCGTACATTCATTCCAGAGGTCCGTTCTTAACCTGAAACTGTTCTTAACCTGAAGCACCACTTTACCTAATGGGGCCTCCCACTCCCGCCGCGCTGCTGGAGCATGATTTCTGTTCTCATCCTGAAGCAAAGTTCTTAACCCGAGGTACTATTTCTGGGTTAGTGGAGTCTGTAACCTGAAGTGTATGTAACCTGAGGTACCACAGTATATATTTACACACTATGTACAGACAAAGGCATTATGGTGTCCGTTCTCTCCAGCTCCGAGAGGACAAAACAGCAAGAAATAAAAGCGAAGGTACATTACAGCAGAAGAAATAAGACTGTCTTCCTCTTTCAGACTCGTCCCAGACAGGCATGTGATTTATAACAGTCTCATCTGCTGCATCAGAGGAGTGTAATACTAACAGCAGGTTCTGTGCGTGTGTGTGTGTGTGTGTGAGAGAGAGAGAGAGAGAGAGAGAGAGAGAGGTACATAGCTCTATCTCACACAGGCCCCAACTACCCTCATCCCCATGACAGTGCTGGGCTGAGAGGAGGGGTTTAAAACTCTCTTTTCAGCCCAGTGCTGTGATGGGGCAATTTCTTCAGAATGGCGGCATAATGGAGAGGAAAAGATGGACTGCAACTCCCATCAGCCCTAGCAAGCACAGCCAACAGGCAGGAATTATGGGAATTGTAGTTCAGCAACACGGGGCTGGTCAAAGATTCCCCACACCTGATCTGTCGAGATTTGCTGGTATGAGGTTCGCACAGAGGTTAGACAATGTTCAGTCTTTATTGAGCCTTCGTTCTGATTTGTTTGTGGGTTCCCTGCACATCTTTCCATTCGTCGTTCCTTCATCCTGCCCTTGACAGTGTATTATTTCCCCATGACTTTTTGCAGTTATATGGGGAAAGGCAATATAAAGTGTGGGGTGAATAAATGACAAAGTTATTTCATCAACGATGGTGCTTTTGACAAAGTAAAGCTATTGCACTAACGTGGCAGATTGCTTTAATCCACTGCAATGGCACAAACTTATATTTCCTTTCCCAGTAATGATATATAATGAATTGAAAAGGGTGTTCAAAATAACATTTGTAAAAAACAAACAAACTGGAAGCTTTTCCTTGGGGAATTATAGGGACAGAACTACCTAAATTGTATAGAAATTTATTTCTGTATGCTACTACAGCAGCAAGAATGCCACTCGCTCCAAAATGGAAAGAAAGAGAAGTCCCAGCAAAGGAAGAATGGATACAAAAACTTATGGAATATGCAGAAATGGTGAAACTTACCAGAAGAAGAAAAAATCAAGATAGCAAACTTTTTATAAAAGAATGGAAATGGAAATGGTTTATTGAATATTTACAGATAAATTGCAGACATTGGCAATTGGCCAAAACAACCTGCAGTTTCATAAGAGTTTATGTTTAAAGCAGATGATTAAATGAGCAAATTAAATGAATTTGGATATGCAGAAGATATTCAGAAGTAAATTTCAAGAACCTCAGAAAGAGGGGGAAGGAAGTCAAGCTTCAAAATCTTAAAATGATCGTAAAATTAATGAAACGTATAAACCTGAGAAGTATAAATAAAAATAAATACACCGAAAAACACACCTATATTTCCGGGTGTGCATCTGAATGACTCCCTTAAAATACTGACAGTCTGGAGACAACCTATATCTTAAATTCCAGAGAACGAGAGGGGTGGCGGTGGGGGCGGGGGCGGGGAGGAGAGCACCACTTCAAGAATCCATCTATTGAAACCACAAGTTTCCTCTTCTCCATATGGAACAGGTGACACCCCTAGACTCTCTACACAAGAAATCCAATTCCCCTGCTTTGATCACCTGCTCTGCCTTTTGCACTTTGATGG